TTCCAGTTACTACAATACTATTTTCCATTTCAGATATTATATTTTTATCTAAAAAATTCCATTTGGGTAATTTTTTAAAATAACAGCTCTACTGAGATGTAATTCACATACTTGACACTTTAATGACAGCTCTACTGAGATGTAATTCACATACTTGACACTTTTAAAGTGGTTTTTAGTACATTCACAGAGTTATGCGACTGTCACCACTATCTAATTCCAGAATATTTTCAACACCCCAAAAAGAAACTGCACCAATTTGCAGTCACTTCCTATCCCCAACCCCCTAGGCTCTGGAAACCATTAATCTACTTTCTGTCTCTATGCATTTCACTATTCTTGCTATTTCATTTAAATGGAATCATACAATATGTGGCCCCTCTGATCTCCATGTCATTCTACATAGTGAACCTGTACTCTTTTCTCTGAGCACTTTTGTCTGTAACATGTATAGGCAACAGGTACAAGAGAAGGGGATTCTCAGGCCATCATGACAGGAAATTAGGGATGTACCCAGAGTATACAAAACATGAAAAGTTGGTATCATGAGGGCATCTCTTTCTCTACCCCAATGTAGGCTTTAGAAATCAGGCAGAAATGGGAAACCTGGAATGTAGACTATCAAATTGTATTGTTAAGTACATTTTTGTATAAATTTCTGTGTGCCTCAAAAGTTGTTGTGACTTACATATTTGAATAAATTCAGATCTCTCCAACTGAGAAGGTGAAACTTATAAAGTAAGACTTTAGGCCCTTCCTCACTATCATGGCCTGTATTAGTCCATTTCTCTTGCTTACCTGGAACTGGGTATTTTATAAAGAAAACAAAATTTACTGCTTACAGTTTTAGAGGCTGGGAAGTCAAAAGTCCAGGGAAAACATCTGGTAAGGGTCTTCTTTGGTGATGGCTTTACAGCAACTTAGGGATCTCACATGGCAGAAAATAGTGGAGCAGAGAGAGAGAGACAGCTCCTCACGTGTTCTCCTTTTAAAGCACCCAGAACCATGCACCTGACCAATTATTAACCCATTCACTACAGTATGGTCCTACAATCTAATCATCTCTTCAAGGCCCCACCTTCCAATTATCATAATAGAATTTCCCACCCTCAATCTAATATATGAACTTTGGGGGACACAACTCAAACAATCTACAGCATTCCACTTCTGGTCCACAAAGTTTGTGTCCTTCTCACAGGTAATACACTCACATTCCACCCAAAGTCTTAACTTGTTTCAGCTCAAAAGTCCATAGTTCAAAGTCCCCTGTGAAATCAAAACGAGTTATCTATTTCCAAGATACAATGGTAGGACAAGCATAGGGTACATATTCCTGTTCAAAAAGGAAGAAATAGGCCAAAAGAAAGGTGTAAAGGTCCCAAACAAGTCCAAAACCCAGCAGGGCAGTCATTAAATCTCAAAGTTGGTGAATCATGTACCTTGACACCATATTTGACATCCTCTGCACACTGGTGTAGGGGTTGTGTCCCCAAGTCCTCAGATAGCTCTGCTCCTATGGCTTTCCTGGTCTGAGGCCAGGCTTCAGCTCTTGCAGGCTGGCGTTGCATGCTGGCAGCTCCACAATTTTGGGGTCTCCATGTCAGTCCTGCTTCCATGGCTCCACTAGGTATGCCCTTGGTGGGGGGTTTTCTGCTACACTCCGACCCCACATTTCCTCTTGGTGTTGCTCTAGTGAAGGCTGTCTGTGGTGACTCCATCCCTGCAACAGATCTCTTCTTGGGTCCCCAGGCTTTTCCACACATCTTTTCAAATTGGGGTGGAGGCTCCGAAGCCTCCACAGCTCTGGCATTCTGTGAGCCTACAGACTTAACACCACATGCATACCACCAAGTCTTCCAGTTAGTGTTTTCCAAAGCTGTGGGTCCACCCACACCTGGGGCCAATTTAGCCACAGCTGGAGCAGCCAAAGCAGCTGGGGTGCTGGTGTGGGGAGCAGCACCCTGAGGTGGCTCTGGGCAGCAAGTCCAGCCTGTTCCTGGAGACCATTCTGTCTCCCTAGGCCTCCGGGTTTGCATTTTTCTCCTGAAAATGCTCTCTGCTTCTCTACCACATGGCTCGGCTACAAATTTTCCAAATCTTTATGCTCTGCTTCCCTTATATATTCTGGCTTTATGTCATGCCTTTCCTGCCATAACGCAGCATAGGCTGGTTCAAGTAGCCATGCAGCTTCCTGAATATTTTGCTGCTTTGAAATTTCTTCTGCCAAATACCCTTGATCAGCACCTTTAAGATCCATATTCCATAATACTTTTGGGCATGAGCAGAATGCAGCCAAACTCCTTGCCAGTTCATGGCAAGGGTGATCTTTCCCAAGTTTCCAATAACTCCCTTCTCATTTAAATCTGAGATCTCTTCAGTACAGCTTTTACTGTCCATATTTCTATCAGCATTCTCCTCACCACCATTTAACCAGTCTTTAAGGAGTTCCAAATTTTCCCTAGTTTTCTTGTCTTCTCAACTTCCACCAGCAGCTAGGCTTTTTCTAGCTTGCTCCTTCAAAT